ACATATGTCAAATACAACAAATACATCTGTTGATATACAATAATACATATGTCAATACAAGAACAATACATAGAAAAAACAACAATACATATGTTGATACAAATACATAAACAAACTGTTTGTGGGACACCGGGGCACTATCTGGAAGACAGGGTTTGATAAAAATGGCAGAAAACTAGGGACGAACTGAAAAAGATATGTGGCTTCGGGAAAAGGGACAAAAATCTAAAAAACGCCAGCCACGTTGGGGGCCATTTTTGTAACGATAAGATACAAAAATGGCGAAAATCTAATACAGGCCACACACGTTGGGCGACATTTTTGTAACGAAAATATTTTGCCTACCACAGGGGCATTAATATAAGGGGGGTAGAAAATTGGCGGAAGAAACTAAAGGGGTTGAGATAAGGCAAGCAAAATAATCGCTACTTGTGCGAACGGACACTCAGGGTTTCGCAGGAGAGCTGGGGTCGTGGATAAGTAAAATGGGGTTAGAATGGGGCAACTACAACAAAAAGAAATAAAGGGCTTTTGGGATAAACAGAATAAAAATCAACAAGAAAACACCTCAAGAAATTTGATTATAGGGCGCCACTTGAGGTGCCTAATTATGCCTATTACAACCACTAGTTGTAACTAGGGAAATAATTAGAAAATAAAATCAACATAAAAAAACATATCTTTTTCAAATAAAAATCAATAAAGGTTTAGCTCAAAAAAATAAATAAAAAGTTAAGACAACAAAATTTAACCTTTATTTATGTGTCACCACAAACAGTTACATGGAGAAATACAAAATTCAAAAACTTACATGTGTCATCTGCTTACAAACGCTGTTGCTACAATTGCATGGAAAAACTTACAAATTTTTTTTTAAACAAAACAAAGTAAAATCAAAAAAACACTAAAACGAGCTGTCATAAATTAACATTGGATTTCAAAAAAAACTAAAGACAAATTGACAGCTTTACTCAAAACCTAAAATTTACTATTAAAAAAAAAACGAAAGCAATTATTATTTTAAAAAAATGTTTGTCTTCACTTTAAAATTAAACAAACACCTGAAAAGTTACCTGGATTTCACTTGATCACACATTAAGTTTCTGAAATCATAGCTGGGGTTCTCTGGACACGAACACACGAACAAAATCATCTCCACTGTGAATTGGATCGACCATTTGAGGCCAAAGCCGGCACTGAACAAAACTTATGGCTCTGCCTCTTAAAAAAACAGGGACAGGTATAATTGGACTATAATTATACCTTAAATTGCCACATTTAACTGCTACTTAAATTATTTTCCATAACGAAGAACAAAAGGACATTACAAATTCTTCATGAAAAGAAAAGAAAACAGAACACTTTACAAATTCGACGAAAAATTTGCTGATGACATAACGCTGAACCGCCTTGGAACGCGGTCCAAACGAGAGTAAAGCAGAGATTTTCTCCGCAAAAATTGGACGCAAATCTTAACAAACACTTATAAGAATGCGACGTAGTTTCCTTTGCGACGCATTTACATGAAAAGAAATCGCCGCAGTAAAATAAACAACAATTAAATGGATTTATTACTCTACGACGTTAGAATGATTGAAAACACTTTTCGAAAGATACGAACTAAAAAAACAGAAAACATTCTTCGTTTTATTAAGACGATTTCATATACGAGGCGACTTTAAATATACTTCAAAGAATCAATCAAATTTAAAATGCTACACATGGATGCACAGACCGCGGCCTGCGGGCCGCATACGGCCCGCCAGCCGAATACTGGTGGCCCGCTGGCCGAATACTGGTGGTCCGCCGGCCGAGTACTGGTGGCCCGCCGGCCGAATACTGGTGGCCCGCCGGCCGAATACTGGTGGCCCGCCGATAGCAAAAATCTCTTGTACATTCGAAAACTATTGAATTCTATTCCAGAATAAAATCAAAAAAAAAATATGTTCGAAAAGTAATTTGAATCTCGCGCGCGCTATTTGAATCTAGTGCCCAAAAATGCTAAGTCAAGTAACATCGCTTGCTGCCTTTATATAAAGTTTAAAATAGTAGAGAAATCAAGAATGTTCTAGCGTGGTGCGAGCAAGCCAGATAGCAGTAGTCCCGAATTCCCGATTGCTCGTGTAGGAATACGAAGCTTCCACAGTCGTATGCACAGAGTATAGTTACACGTCGATTTACTATTGCAGTGTTAACCCGTTAAGTGCCGTGTATAATAATTGTGTTTTGAAATCGTAAGTAAAACTCTGTTATTAATAAGTGTTTCCCTACCTATTTAATCAATTTAAATCAAATTTAGCTTTAATGTTGGCCAAATATTAAAATAAAACAAAGAAATTACTATTATTTTTATCAGAATGTCTCTAAGTATAATAATTACGTCATTATTTCAGATATAAAATCAGTATAAAAATCTTAAAATTTCTTAGGAATAATATTCAGTCAATTATTTTTGATAATTTAAAAAATGATGGGTAATTTAGGTAGGTCCTGTAATTGTTTTTAGATGCTGTGTTAATCCTAGCCAGGATTGGAACGCATGGAGAAGCCAGGACCTAGTAAAAAACGTAAGGTTAAAGATGAAAATCGGCAGTTTCAAGAAATTTGGACTTAACTTACTTTACTGGAATTTACTTTTTTGTATGGTCGCATAACAAAGTCGTTTGTTTAATTTGCAAGAATTCTGTTGCGATTGCAAAGGAATATCATGTAAAAAGGCACTATGAAACGCAGCATCCTTCTTTTACCAAGTTTACAGGCGAATTAAGAAAGCAAAAAATGTTGTCTTTAAAACGGGAGCTTATTGGTCAGCAAGCTATGCTTACAAAACCCATTCAAGATTCAGAAACAGCTACAGAAGTTAGTTATAAAATTTCTCGAATGATAGCAAAGCGAAGTCGCCCCTTCAATGATGGCGATTTTGTAAAAGAATGCATAGAAATTGCAGTTAAGAAAATGTGTCCAGAAGCATCAAAAAAGTTTGAGAAAATTCAACTGAATCGTATGATTATCCAAAGATGACTAATATCTTTGTCAGGTAATATTGCGGAACAATTAATTGAAAAAACTAAGATCATTGAATTTTTTTCATTAGCCCTCGACGAATCCACTGATATTAGTTCCACTGCTCAACTTCTCATATTCACACGAGGTGTTACTCAAGATTTTGAAGTCTTAGAAGAGTAATTAGGAATGTGTTCATTGAAAGGTCAAACCAAAGGAGTTGATATACTCAATGTTCTTTTGGATGAGTGTTCAAAAACTGATTTGGACTTATCAAAATTATCGGGAGTTGCGACTGACGGTGCTCCTTCGATGTTTGGTGTCAATTCCGGGCTAGTTACTTTGCTGAAAAAGCATCTGCAAGAAAAAACATAAACGCTGAAGATCTTATGCAGTTTCACTGTATACACCAAGAAGCCCTCTGTTCTAAAAAAATTGAATTTCAAAATGTCATGAAAATGGTAGTTTCGATTGTAAATTTCATAAAATCACGAGGACTCAATCACAGACAATTCAAACAATTCCTTGATGACATCGAAAGCGAATACGGAGATTTACTGTATTATACAGAAGTAAGGTGGCTAAGTCGTGGATTGACACTGGAACGATTTCTAAATTTAATAGAAGAAATTGGAATATTTCTGGCGAAAAAGCAAAGGGATGTCCCGGAACTTAAAAATCCTGATTGGTTGTGTGATTTGGCTTTGTTAGTTGACATTACAAATCATTTGAATTTGAACACACGGCTTCAAGGCAAAAATCAACTGATATCGCAGCTCTACGCTCATGTATCATCCTTTCAATGCAAGCTGACACTTTTCAGATCACAGTTAAATTCTGGAAATTACAATCATTTTCCGAATTATAAGAAAATGACTGAAAAATTCAACAAAACTGCGATTAATTTCAGTTATGTAGAAAAGCAAGATATTTTGATTCAATCTTTTCAAGAAAGATTTTCGGAGTTTAAAAAAGTGAAACCTCTGTTGGACATATTCATCAATCCTTTCACGATTTCAGTTGAAAATGCGCCAGAGTCAATGCAGTTAGAAATTATCGACATTCAAAACGACCAAGATGTACGCAACAAATTCAACGAAGGAGACTTGCTGAACTTTTACCGCTGCATTGATAAAAATATGTACTAAGAGTTGCGCATAAATGCTCTGAAATGTGCCAGCTTCTTTGGTTCTACCTATATATGTGAACAAACTTTTTCAATACTAAATATTAATAAAACAAAAAATCGAAACCGCCTTGCAAATGAAAGTTTGGAAGCAGTTTTACGTGTTGCTACAAGTAAATTTGAGCCAAATGTAAAAAAGATTGTAAGCACTATGCAGTGCCACGCTTCAAATTATTAAATTAATTTTCAATTTTAATAAATTATTATCAATTCTTTATTGTCTTTAATTACCTATACTTCTGACGGCCGGCCCGCCATCAGTTCATGATTTGCCCGAGTGGCCCCTAGTCTTATTAATAAGTCTGTGCATCCCTGGTCTAGGATGTATTTTATTCAAATTTGGATATACCAGCAGTATATAGTTTCCAATTTAACTGCATGCAAAACCATTCGTATAATTTTCACTCTGCGCAAAATAGAGACTTATAGAGACCTTGATGAACATTTGATGTCGAAAATAATTTCGAGTATTCGAAATATTCCGTCCCACTTCTTTTAAAACGCCCTGTATATACATATTATATTTATTTTATTTGCCTTTGATACAGCAAAATCCAATATTATTACTAAACATAAAATACAGGAAATTAAATATTTTTACTTTTCAAGCGATCGGAATTAAATATTAACACCCCACTGTTTGAGGCCCACTGATCATATTTTAATTACATATCGGCCGTCATAGGGTAAAAGCAATTTAGTAACATTTCTTTGTTATACATAGCTAATACAAAAGTATTGGATACACACTTAAGTAACGGTCAGTAACATTGCAAAATATATTTGATATAAAATATATACATATACATACCAGACGCGACCAGTACCTGCCAACCATAATTATTATATTCTCTTTCTTTCAACATATCAATGTGTCTTTTCTTTAAAAGCAACTGGCCATTTTCGACGATTAACAAAGGTCTACATATTCTTCCGGCGTCTGTATAAATTCTTATTTCTCTGTCACGAATATCTCGGATCATCGATACTTCTGATACGATGATGTCCATTTGACGCCGAAGTTTACGCAGTGTCGCCATGAGTTGTTCGGGATCTCTGTGAATTCCCACCTAAAAAAAAAATAAATACATACATTGTAATATAATATTTTCAAATACGGGAGAGGGTTAAATATTAACAGTCTTTCCATCCTTCTTGTAACTGTTAGATTATGAATAGATATATGAATAGATATAACTATGGTTTGTTTTTTAACCAGGAGGGGTAAACTAAAAAGACAGATTCACACCCAAGAAAGTTACTAAAAAAGTCACCAAATACATCTCCTTTTTTGTTTGATTATTTCGGCCTTGCGGTAATCTAGTAATCGATTCTAAATTAACTTTGTATATGTTTGAATAATAATTTTTTCCAATTCACTTCCAATATATATTATTTGTTTGTCTACCCACAATAAAAAGAAATGTTGGATTGTTATGAAGAAGTTGAAGAATTTTTAGAGTTTATTTAGAGTATATGAAAGCGATATATTCGTGATAAAATTATATCTAAAATACAATGGAATTTTACAATATTTCATCAGCGCTTTAACTTAACAACAAATATTGTATGCTACTTTATAGGAATATAACCAGTTTTTATGGAATTGCCCATTTTTCAAATATACAGGTATAGACTTATGTTCATACATATTTTTTAGGACATCTTGTTCATTACTGTTCCAGTCTGCTTATATTCCTTAATTGTTCTTTAAATAGTTGAATTCGCAATACCTAAAATTGGCACATTACTTTAATAAGTCTTGATTTTAACAATAGCTATTCTGCAAAATTAACCTGTTGCCTGTTTTATTTTTGCTACCATGGCTATGATTTTTATTCCAGGAATTTTTATTTGTTTGTACATGTTTATAATGCATTGTTTTTCATTTGATGATAAATGACCCAAACCTACTCGGCGTTTTTTAAGTGGAGAAGGATAATTACCACTAGTACTTGGCATCGTATTCATATTGTTATCTTAATAACACTAATACGTTGCTAAATAGTTCTGAAAAGAACTGTTTTTTATATAAATACAAACAAAAAATCTAAAAATTATAATAATAACGCAGAAAATACAAAAAATCGTCGATATAAATTTTGAATTTTAAAATTTCATAAATGTCATTAGTGTCAAAATGGCATAATTTAGTGCAGTAAACTTGCCAATAAACAAGCATTACGGCGCGGTAAATTTGAATTACTCCTCCTGGTTAAAAAACAAACCATAGTTAAAGAGACGTTGAAGAAGAAGTACGACAACCAAGCTTAAAAACAAGTAAAGCGGCTCAGGAAGAACAAACACCTAAGACAAGACACAAAAACAAGAATCTATAAGTCAGCAATTAGACCTATATTAACATACACGGCGGAGACAAGACCTGACACATCTAAAACGAGACGACTACTAGAAACAACAGAGATGAAAGTACTTCGACGAATATTAGGAAAAAGTCTGTTGGATAGAGAGAGAGAGAAGCGAAAACAAGAATATCATGCAATATAGACGACATAAATGGATGGGTGACAAAACGAAAACAGGAATGGAACGAACACATCAGTAGAATGGCAGAGGATAGAATAGTACGAATAGAATGAGATAAGTCACCAAATGGACGCAGAAGTTTTGTCAGACCAAGAAAAAGATCCAGACAAAGAGATCCGTAGCAGGATTGATTAATTTTTAAGATTTTGTACTTTTACGAAATAGAAAAGTGCCTTTTTTCTTCTTTCTTCCTATTCCTTCCGTATTTTGGGTAGTCATCATGTTTGGCATCCTTTGGATATATCCCAACAATTTCAGTGTGTGATTTTATGATCCCTACAATATTCGGTTCTCCATACATCTTCTCTAGGTCTATATTTGGTGTTTTGATCCACATATCATTACATAGCTTTCCTCCAAATATTATCCTGAAGGCTCTTCTTTCTCACACTTGGACCATGACTTGTTCACCATCCATGTTTCACTGGCTCTAATGCAATAGGTCTTATCACTACCTTATATATTCTTACATATCTTAGCCCGTCTATATATGTTTTTACTTCTTAATAACTAGTTAAGAACAAAGATACCACCATTAACAGAAATTATTCTCAATTATTGGAGTTCTTCTTTCACATTTAGTCTCCTGGTCAATGTCGCTCCTAGGTATTGGAACCTTTCTACTTCTTCGAATTTATACATTTTTCCTTCTGTGATTATTTGCAGGTGTTGTCCTTGTATTCTCGTTCTGTCCATTACATATATTTGGTTTTTTCTTCGTTTATCCCTTTCTTTCTCGCTGCCGCTAAGTAGTTTTTTAGCTCTAGTCTTTTGAGTATTTCATTTACTTCTTATTTACTTCTAGCTATCAGTAATGTATCATCAGCGAATACCTGACACTGGTGCTTTCGTTGACACACAAGTGCTATCCATCTTGATTCGGGCTTCTTTTTCAATTTCAAGAAGGATACTGAACAACAATTATAGCGGTGGGTTCCATTGTCGCACCCCCTTAGTAACTTCAAACTTATATGTTTCTTTTCCATTTATTTAACCTCATTCTGTTTTCTGAGTGTCACTTTTAATCATTCTTACTCATTTTTCATTAATTCCAATTTCACGTCGGTGGTGCCTTGTATAATTCCTCTTTGTTTTACTCTGTCAAAAGCTTGTTTAAAGGCGGTGAAGAGGACCACTGTAGATTTCTGATATTCGTAGCTTTCTACTTGTAATTAAGGCAGCAGGAAAATTTAATATACTTTACTGCGTTCTTTTTTGAATCCACATTGATATTCCTCTATGTCAGTATCTATTTTATGTGAAATCTTTTATATGTACCGCAAGTATTTTATATGTAACATTTAGTAGTCCAATTTCCGTATAATTATGGCATAACTATTGACGCCTTTTTTATGAATTGGTCACAGTGTGGCTTCAGTCTGTTCTTTCGGTATGCGTTCTTGTTCCCATACTTCTTTCAGCAACTTTTGCAAATGCTTAAATAGTACTGTTCCTCCATATTTGAACAGTTCAGCTGTCACGTAATGCAGGATAGTGACCACGCTACTGTCGATCCGTATAAATAATTAAGTTCATGGTCTTTTAATGGCACATAAATAATTAATGAGAAAATCAATATGTTCAAAAACAAGTAAAATTTTGCCTAAACTAATTTCGCGAAGGACTAAATGTCATACAAAACAAAATGCACCAACGCAGTAGAAATATTGATGATATTCGTGAATTTCTTTGCATACACTGTCAACCGAATAAAGCAGAAACTTAAAAAACAGAGTTAGGGTAATGTACAATCCACCAGTAGAAAAATGTCAAAAACTCTTGAAGGAATATCAAAAATTATGTTATAAAATATTGAAATCTCTTATGAGGTTGGTGACAAATTACTAAGCAGAAACTGGTGCACTTGGGTACACTAATATCATTAATACACCCCTAGAAGGGGAGTAATAATGTGATTTGTATTTTGTAAGAGTAGTGTAACTAAACTGTAACTTTTACTGCAATATTTAGAGGCTTATTCGAGTTTTCTATCAGTCTAAAAAACGAGAATGTCTGATACGAATAAGTCTTGCTCTGGCATAACAAGTTCAGACTCATGCAGCTATCGTAACTTAAAAGAAAATAATGTTAATATACTGAACTTTCCGTGTAGACTTTTCATACAGTCCAAATCTTTATCCAAGTGGTTACCATCTTTGAGCCAGTGAGAGACACATTTGACGTATATAAAATTTTGGGAAAAGTAACCTATTCTTTTTAAAGAAATAAAGAGAGGCAACTAAGTTATGGTTAATTTACTGTAATTATAATTCAATAAAAAGTTACTACCAAGGTAAAACTTCAGTTTTGATTCGCCCTATTATCTGAATATTTTCAGTTTAAAGGTCACAATAAGTCAAACCGATACAAAATAGTAAAAAGGTTTCCACAAAATTAACAAGTCATCTTATTAATTAGGAAACTTACCCAACAACCATTCACAAAGATTTTGGTAGCATTAGCAATTGCAGATGGCGCTATTTCTTCCAGGTTTTCCATGGACCACTCCTCCAAGAACTCCAATATCGGCGAGGGTTGGGAACCGACGGAAATATAAGCCATAAGAGCAAGATTTTTTACGAGTCCTACAGCGGCACCTATAAAGAATAAAAAAAAGTTAATCACAAAATCAGTTACACATACAAATAGATCAGTAATTAAGATAAATTATAAATTTTTGTTAAAATATTTTTTTCTTTTAAGGCTCATCCTCGAAAATCCTAACGGTAAATTTCAGTGGGCTATCTCTATTTCAAAAAATTTTTTCTTTACGAAAACAAAATCTGTTTATGCAGTAATATTCTAAACTTCCTTCAGATATCTCTCTCAAGCCCAGGTCAAAAATGCGTTAATCTTTTACTCGAGCCGATTATACAATCGGGAAAACTCCTGAAGTGACAGGTTTTGGGCTTACAATAAAATAAATTTCTTTTTAGTGGTGTTTTGAGTAAATAGAATAACAGATCAAAGTAATATAATCTATTCATAAATTTACAATGTAACAAAGGTACATACATAATTTATTTGTTACTTTTTGACGGAAAAATTGGCGGTCTGAATTTTAACGTAGATTAAAGTTTACGGAAAATAAAAATTATAAAAAAAATTATAATTATATATCATAAAAATTTTATTAGTATCACGATCATTAAAATTGATAAAATGAAACTATATAAATATAGAAGTATGTCTAATGTTTCTTCAGAAGGTGTTCCAAACAAAAATTATAATAAAAATCTTGCAATTTTTGTAGCATATTTTCCCATAGTTCCATACCTTTATCAATCTTTTCAAATAAAATATTTTTTGGGGTCCATACCGCAAACTAACAGTATTCTCTATTCTATATAAATAACAAAATAACTGTCCTTGCACTGAATAGTAATAAGAATCAGTTCTTTTTAAAATTTCTTGAAGGAAGGAATAATTTAATCACGCTATCATTTCCAATTTTGATTTTTAATATTAAATTTGATAGGTTGTGGTTTATTACAACAAAATCTAATAAAATATAACATGACACAAGAAATGGTTTTAGAATAAGTTTGATGTGTTGTTTGTTATCATTCAGTAAGAGACTAATTTACTTATTACAATACTAATCTAACAGACAATTATTATTGTCAAATAAAAGAAATAAGATAATTTACTTGTGGTTAGTAAACGTCGGCCCTATGCAACTAATTGTCAACAAGAACGGATTACAAAAGTTTAGATTTATGAGATGTATGAGGAGCATTTATAAAACTTAGATGTATACTGAGTACTTATTTCAAAAATTTACAACTAAGGATTTAATTTGTTATATGTAAATATACTCGAAGATCTAGAGAAAATGGGAGTGCGACAATGGGATTTACTGGCACAGGACCGACAAATATGGGAGGCAATAGTAACCGCGTCAAAGACTCACGAAGAGTTGAAGTGCCATTGATCATGATGATGATGATGAAATATACTGTATTACTATTTATATGGATGTGAAATATGGATCATGAAGGATAATATGATGGACAATTTAGGACGTGACTCAGGTATATGATAAAGTATGGCAAAGATGCCATAACTATAAACTAAGACTACATTTACCAAAACGATACTCTCAAATAATTGACCCCTGCATCTTGTAAAAATATTTCAGAATTAAACAGGAAGAAACATACACGGAACTGAAAGAAATTACAGCAGGACTGCCACAAAGAAGTGTCTTTACCTTTTGTATACGTGTTATATTATTGTCCTAGAAAAGAATACAATGGCAACAATTACCGATGATACTGCTATCATAGCAATATGCAAAACCAGCGAGGAAACGACAAAGAAATTACGCAGATGTTAATCAAATATATACTCCAGGGAAATAAGAAAAAAATAGACCATGTTCGTGACACTCAATAATCCAGGTCTCTGACAACTTTTTTAGTTATTGTAGACCTATAGGAAGAAAACCTACTTGTTTCCGGCCTTGAATTTGGAGTTGTTTTTTAATTATTAACAATTTAATGCAAAAAATGCGATTTTTTCTATGATTATTGATACTAGTATTAAAAAAAAATAGATTTTTGGAAGAAAATTATTGTTGCACGAATTGTTTAAACAAACTAGACTATTTATTAATTAATTAATATATAAACAAATTACATATTTGTAACGTACGTAGAAATTACATACAAATTAAAAAAAGAATGATCAAAATCCATTGAGTAGATCTGGAGATATAGAAAATTTTATTAGTTTGAAATTGCTTGTTCGATATGGATCACAGAATGGATTTGTAGGTTATTTCTAGTCACCATTTGAACTACATTTTTGAAAATTCGTAGAGGATCCTGTAAAGGTACAATGTTTGTGCAATTTTTTTAACAAAAAATACAAATCCCATTCCTTAACGTGGCATCAATGAGGTTCTTTAATTATTATAATCAAATGAGCTGTGAATTATCATCTTTTCTCTGAGTTGATCTACTACTTGTTATAATTGGTCGTAAAACGCTTCCCTTGTTGTTTGAGGCTTATTATTTTCTGGGCCGTATATTCAGATAATGTTCAGGTTTTCCTTCTGCATTCTTATCTTTGCTGTTACTATTCTTTCTGATATGTATTCACACTCTTTAATGTAATTTTAATACCTTTTGGATATTTTTCGCTTGTCCTTACTTCTTGTCGTAGTCGTCTTCATAGTATCAATCCGGTTCCGAGGCTGTACATTGTTTCTTTAAGCAGTATTTGTTTTACGATTGATAGGTTGCTAACCAATAAATGTATATAATTAAATTTCTTATTCAAATACTGCAAAATATTTGGTTATTACTCTGAGCTGATGTAAAAAAGAAAAGAAAATAATAATTCTGATTGAAATACAAAAAAATGTACTTGCTGATTGATCAAAATTCTACGCTGTTTCTATGTAACAAATTATTATTATATAAGCAAATACTGAAACAATAGTATTATTATAAAAACAGTATACATATTTAAAAGAAAAATGTCACAAGTTAACAGAAAATATTTCTATTCATATAAAAATTTAATCAAATTATAGGTACCTACTTACTGCTTATTTATATAAAATTTCCTATTTTAAATACAATAAACACACTGGTTTGTCAAAAGTCGGAATAAGCCCTAATAATGTTATTCAACATTATTTATCCTCTTCCGAGGATAAATAATGTTGAACCTACCTGCTGGCGAGAATCCAGAAGCTACCGACAAGGACAGCTTGTGCTGACGGATAGAGAATTACATTTAGCAGAACTTTGAAATTTTTAAAAGTTTATACCAAATAGCTGCTTTGTGTTACACTTTTATGTTAAAAATAAAAACAGATTCGGAAAGTGGGTAAAATTCTCTAGTGCCCTATTTAAAAAAAAAATTTACGTTTATTTTAACCAAAAATATTTGAAACAAAAATATTGTTTAAACAATTTATTAATTTACAACCAAATAGTGCACTAGAACTTTTTAAGACCTTTCATATAAAAAAAGAATCATCTTAATATCTGCCATAGTTTTTGCGTTATTTGATATAAACTTTTACATTGGAATTTAGATATGCCCAGAATCGCGAGGATCGGCCTTAATGCCTCAATTGTAACGATCCAAAGATCTTATATTTTTTCTTTACTCTATTTAATTCAGAACGCAATAATTTTTATGCGATCCTGTAGAACTTCATCAGTTTTAAAAGTATGTCGGGTAATTAAAATTGTCCTGATTGTAGATTTTTGAGAGATGATACGTCTCATAGAACCTTTTTTTATTGGTCAAACATGATCGAACGGTTTAAGCTGTGACGTAATAATGTTCCGACAGGGAGAATTCTGCTTCGTGTAAAATAGCGCGTTAATCCATTTCTGACCGCAGAGTGTATTGTTTTCCCGAAAATGTCCATTAGGTAAGCTTTTATAAGTTTTCTATGGTCTACGGTTTTAGTGGCACTAATGGGGCACTAATAGCTTCTTCTTTCACTCCTTTATAAAGGAAAAAATAGAGACCTTTTCATCCAAATATTTAACTGCTGTTTGTCTAATGTACTATTAGTCATCCAATAATTAATTTGTTATCTTTCCTGGAATGAATACAAGCAGTCCCATCTAGCTGATGTTCCTTCTAATGGACTTGATGGATACTTTTGAAGCACTGAAGTAGGAATAAATAGGACACTAACTGGGACTTGACGAGGTTCAAATGGGTAAGTGGTGCGAAAAATATGACAGTGTATAGGTGGAGTCGCTAGCCTCTCCAACTCAATTTCAAGTCCCAACTTGACGTGGTGAACCCCGGTAATTTGAGCAACTCTGTGGAAGATTGTGGAAACCAATCCCAGTAAAATGGTCCTTCGAAGATTAGGGGATTGGCCAAAAGGTTAACCACCTCTTCTCTTAAAAAACTTATCATTATGAGAGCACAAAGAATAAAAACGGGAATTTTTTATTCACGTCGACCTAACTAACGACAAAGGAATACCGATTTACGGATCTGTACATGGAAAGTAGAAATCCTTTATGCGTCAGACGCTCTTAAATAGCTAACACAAGCTCTAGATAAAATGAACGCCAAATAGCAATTCAAGAAATGACACAGACTGGTTCACCTATTATCGGGAGCAAAGACAACATATACTATAGCGGACATAGCACCCGACACGAGTTTGGCAGTGGTTTTCTAGCAGTAAAAAAGCAAAGCAATTAGTCCTTAACTTTGAACCCAATATGTATAGATACCACAATATGGTATCAACGTCTTAAAGGAAAATTCTTTAACTATAGCTTAATTAGTGTACATGCACCTACGGAAGAATAGGAAGACGTTGAAAAAGATGAATTCTATGACAAAGAATATGATCGATGGTCATGACGTGAAAATAATTGCTGGGGGCCTTAACACAACAATATGTAAAGAGCAATTTTTCCAGCCAACTATAGAAAGTGTTAGCTTACATGAAGAGTCAAATGATAACGGGTAACTAATAAACTTTGCAAGCATCAAAAACATGGAGAACAAGATTTCCTCAACAACGAAACCGTTAACCAGATAGATCACATCCTGATAGATGCAAGGGATTCTTCCGACCTCGTGAACTTCAGAAGCTACCGAGGTTCAAATATAAATAGTAACCACTTTCTTGTAATGGCAAAAATCAGAGGAAGAATATCAAACCTAAAGAAGGATATACATATGAAACATGACAAAATTAATGTTGATAATCTACGCATTGAAACCGTTGCGAGATAGTATAGAAGATAAATAGATGAGGAAATGGAGAGCATGGGGGCGGGGGAAAATATGGAGGAATTGTGGATAAAAGTAAAAACATATTATCTGAGAAGGCAACGGAAATATTGGAGAAAACCAGAACAGTTAAACAAAACGAGTGGTTTGACAAAGAGTGCCGAGAAGCAACAGATAACAAAAATAGAGCATACCTAAAGACAAATCAAGCTAGATGCACAAGAAGAGCAAAGGAGGAATACCGGACCCTAAGCGAATAAAGATTATATAGAAGAAAAAAAGTAAATTTCACGAAAAGCAATTAGAAAACGTTGAATGGCTAAGAAATCAAAACGAAACTCGAAAGCTCTACCGAAATCTAAACAAAATGAGCAGAATTTAAGCCCAGAATAGGGAGCTGTAAGGATGGAGAAGGAAATATCCATCTTCATCGATAAAAGATATGCCCCAATGAACGTTCTAAGTTCTAATGCAAATAGTATATCTACCCACTATCGTTTTACTCGCATCTGAAGTCGGCTTTGATTTACACTGTCCGTAAGAGCCAACATTGAAATTTTCTCATTAATCCGACTATAGAATACGATCTGGGGATGAGCAATACGGCAAGAGATGGAAGGCTTGCGTCTCGATGTTATTCACTTCCTACATCCTTACCGGAGTACCCAGTAAGTTTGAAAACTGGAATATAAGTAGAAACTGTTTTAAAAGTTAACATTGCCGCCCATGTTAAATTTTTATATATCAAAATATATGTAAAATAATAGGAACAAATACGTTGAAAATATTGTTATTATTACTTACCTTCTGGAGTTTCAGCAGGACAGATCATTCCCCACAAAGTATTATGCAACTGTCGAGGTTTGGCTAGTTTACCGTCTCGTCCAATGGGAGAATTGACACGCCTTAAATGTGATAAGGTGGATGCGAAAGTTAAACGATTCAATACTTGGGACACGCCAGCTCTGGCTTGATGGGCTTTTTTCTGGTCGCCCCAATTTCCAGTAGCAAGAGAATACCTCAAACCGTCCGTTATCAGTTTAGTTTTGATGGCCAAGTCGAGATTAAAATCTTTCCCTCTGTCGATGAACTTCTGAGCGTACATACGAACTTCTTTCATTAGGTTCTTGAAAAGCCTAAAAGTCATAATATTTTAAGACTTCGTAATGGCATTTTTGTGAAAAAGCAAAATATAAGATCCAATTTCTGAACCAGATAACCTTACAGACGAACATCAAAGACCCAAAACAACAACCTCGATAGCGACACTCCTGAGAGAAACACTTTACGTTTTGTCTCAATGTTTACCAAAACCATCCTCAAAAATTATTACAAGTAAATCGTTCGTGGAACTCTTTCAGAAGGTGAATTCAGTTAAATGGTCACACGAATCTATAGGAAATTATACAAATATGTTAGTAATTTTGCTTTCTTTTTTTTAATTTTGAAAGCGACATATAAGAATGCTGAATCCGCAAAAAGTGTGACTCTAAAACGGTATAAATTGTTCTTATTTTTATGAATGTATGGATTACATGAAGAAATAATACAGTATAGGTAAAAGTTTATGGTCGGTATGGACCTTACATGAGATGGAGTGAGAAACAACTGTTTAAAAAGAGAGAGATATATTAGGTGTCCCCCTTTTATATCACCGAACATAAATGAGTGGATATGGAGTGGATATAATAAAAAGGGGAAATTCAACGTTGCCAAACTTACTGGTTTTATTTGACCTGTTGTCTTTTTCGCATTTGAACAATGCTCCAAGATAATGAAATTTGGGCGAAATGGATTTAAATGGCAGCTTATTGTTTTTTATTGGGAATATGCCACAATTTTACTTTACAATAAGTGTAATATAACATTTTGATTTATACTTCGGAAATCGTTTTATATAAATAAAATTTATTAATGTTTGGTATTTTAAAAACGATTTCCGAATTAAAAATCTAAACATCAAAATAAGCTTATTTTAAAGTGACATTATGCCTTATTTCCAATAAAAATATTAAGCTGCATATAAATAAAAAAGCTTCGTACAAAACTATTTGCCAACGTGGCGTGTCGCGTGGTCAAATCACCGAATCAAAGCGTAAACAGGTATTTACGAATAGAGGTGGGTCATTGACGTCGCAAAACCGATTTTCGTAAACAAGTAACTATGATTTTTTAATAGTAGTTTCAAGTAAGAAACTACCTACATAAACAAACATAATGGCTATTATCGTTTATCTGTATATTTATTGAAGTGAAGGAAACTAATAAGATTTTATTATAACTTGAAAACTAAACTAAACAATACAAATAGTAAATCGTACCTACGTTTACATTACACGTTATTATTAAATCACGAATCGTCTAAATTGACATTTAAAAACATAAGTTTTTTTACTTTACTTCTTATTAATTGTGTTTTTCTTTTATTTAAAATTAAACCTGATTTTGAACATGTGTTCACATTTACAATACTTTATGAATATAGTGGTTAAGTTAGGAGATACATGGCGATGGTTTTTCCACCATTGTAATGGACTCTCGCTACAGGTGTACGTTTAGATGAGTCATATCCAATTAATTGATCAAAAATACACCATGGACTTAAGTCATCTTTATCGGTTTCTTTTTCTTATACTGGTTGATTTTCAATAGTACAATCTTCTTGTTCTTTAATTATAGAAGTAATCAGCTTCTTAACTCTTTCTTTTGTTTTTTTAGCGTCATTTTTATCAGAAAATCCCTGCACTTTAAATCGTGAATCCATAAACGTACATAATGACAATATGCCACTGTATTCTATCCCTCTAAATCTTTTTGCTAAACCCGAGATTAGTAATTATCCCGTAATTAGTAATAAAAACCCGTACTACGTCGGATACTAACTATGGATGTAAGGTTACTGTTTGCTAAAATTTTATTGCAAGATTTTTGCAGGCAGCGTACCAGATCAATCACTGAACTATCATTCAAGTATTTTTGGCCACTCATTGTACTTGTTATTTCTTTAAAAGGTCGTAAAATTAGGACAATTACGAAAAAATAATCCAGTCTTCATTATTTAGATTTGATCTAAGTCTAAGTCTGTATTAACTGATACCAATGTGGAACGGATTGCCTTTTCTAACTCCGTCATTCTTTCTAACATGTAATAGGTGAAGTTCTACCTAGTTTCCACGTCTTGGATTGGCGGTTTGGGATCTTTGTTATGTTGTTATTGATACTTTAAAAGCGTTTCTGAAGATAAGGTACTTTTTTGAAATGTGTTTTTTGCCGAATTGTCGAAAAAAAGACTTTTTATTTTATCTATTTGTACACAACAGCATTTAAGTGCGTCCTCTATCAATAAATTTAACGTATGAGCAAAACAATTTAAACGTTTTCATTCCAAAACATATTTAATAGCTATGACCATATTTGAGGCATTATCAGTTACTGCAAAATTTACTTTTTATTTTAGACCCCACTGAATAATAATTTCAATAATTTTAAAAGCGATGTTTTCTGAATTATGGTTTCCAGAAAAATGGCAGCAATCTAATTAAACCGTGTTAAACTCTAAATTTTCGGTTAAATTCGTTAAAATCAACTAGTTGATGGTTGAAGCTGGTTACTTCTATAAAAAAAAAGAAAAAGAAGATCATACTATTGAAAATTGACTAGTACAAGAAAAAGAAACTGATAAAGATGACTTAAGTCCATATAAATGTAAGTACTATTTGTATTGTTTAATTTATTTTTCAAGTTATAATAAATATATTCTTCGTTAGTTTCTTTCACTTTAATACTTATACACATAAACGATAATAGCCAATATGTTTGTGTACTCGCTAATTTGAATCAACTAGTCACAGTTTACGAAAAACGGTTCCGATTAAAATTTAAAAAACGCGAGGACCCACCTCTAGTTTTTTAGGTATATTAGGATCGGAACTAATCGTCTCACTAACCGGCAAAATGGGCGTCAAGAAGATTTATGGAGGGGAGACCAAGGGGGAATATGATTGTTATCTTTGTCTATTCGCTGAAAATATGATTTTATATCTGTGTTAGATATCCTGTTGTTTTACCATACCGACCATAAAATTTTACCTACACTGTATAATTCAAAGAAGAACAAAAAGTAAATTATATCTTATATAATAATTTGGTGAAACATGAGTGGTAATTAATACTACACGAAGAATGAAAATGAATACAAAAGTTAAATAAAACGTAAATAAGTTATATAAATAAAGATGCCTCCGAGCCTCCAGGCCTCTGAGCAAAAAGCTCGATGAAACTCAACAAACAATTACAAGATCGCAGTGTGGCAAGTTCTAAGAACAAACATCCCTTTTATCTGCAATCTACAGGCCCTACGGAACAATTAATATGCTACAAAAACATAAAATAAAGTTTTCCTAGCAAAGAAATACAAAATAACCTAAACACTTTACACTAAGTTATGCAAAAACTTTATTGTGAATATTAAAAGTATTACCCTCTGAATAGGAAAGCCAATAATGGTCCAGCCAGGTCGAGTCTCTTATTTCCGTAGTGATCTCTGTCATCTAACTCACGACGTCCGAGTGCAGCCAGTAAAAGTCGATGTACCATATATCTAAAATCAAAAAGGATATATTTAAATAAAATCCTCAATATACAGTATAGGTAAAAGTTTATGGTCGGTATGGACCTTACATGAGATGGAGTGAGAACAACTGTTTAAAAAGAGAGAGATATATATTAGGTGTCCGCCTTTTATATCACCGAACATAAATGAGTGGATATGGAGTGGATATAATAATAAGGGGAAATTCAACGTTGCCAAACTTATTGGTTTTATTTGACCTGTTGTCTTTTTCGCATTTGAACAATGCGAATATATCTCCAAGATAATGAAATTTGGGCGAAATGGATTTAAATGGCAGCTTATTGTTTTTTATTGGGAATATGCCACAATTTTACTTTACAATAAGTATAATATAACATTTTGATTTATACCACTTATACTTTTATATAAATAAAATTTATTAATGTTTGGTATTTTAAAAACGATTTCCGAATTAAAAATCTAAACATCAAAATAAGCTTATTTTAAAGTGACATTATGCCTTATTTCCAATAAAAATCTTAAACTGCATATAAATAAAAAAGCTTCGTACAAAACTATTTGCCAACGTGGCGTGTCGCACGAATCAAAGCGTACACAGGTATTTACGAATAGAGGTGGGCCATTGACGTCGCAAAACCGATTTTGGTAAACAAGTAACTATGATTTTTTAATAGTAGTTTCAAGTAAGAAACTACCTACATAAACAAACATAATGGCTATTATGGTTTATGTGTATATTTATTAAAGTGAAGGAAACTAATAAAAGATTTTATTATAACTTGAAAACTAAACTAAACAATACCAATACTAAAATAGTAAATCGTACCTACGTTTACATTATACGTTTTTAATAAATCACGAATCGTCCAAATTGACATTTAAAAACATAAGTTTTTTTACTTATGTTATTTTTACTCTTATTAACCGTGTTTTTCTTTTATTTAAAATTAAACCTGATTTGGAACATGTGTTCACATTTACAATACTTTATGAATATAGTGGTTAAGTTAGGAGATACATGGCGATGGTTTTTCCACCATTGTAATGGACTCTCGCTACAGGTGTACGTTTAGATGAGTCATGTCCAATTAATTGATCAAAAATACACCATGGACTTAAGCCATCTTTATCGGTTTCTTTTTCTTACACTGGTTGATTTTCAATAGTACAATCTTCTTGTTCTTTAATTATAGAAGTAACCAGCTTCTTAACTCTTTCTTTTGTCTTTTAGCGTCATTTTTATCAGAAAATCCCTGCACTTTAAATCGTGAATCCATAAACGTACATAATGACAATATGCCACTGTATTCTATCCCTCTAAATCTTTTTGCTAAACCCGAGATTAGTAATTATCCCGTAATTAGTAATAAAAACCCGTACTACGTCGGATACTATGGATGTAAGGTTACTGTTTGCTAAAATTTTATTGCCAATTTTTTGCAGGCAGCGTACCAGAACAATCACTGAACTATCATTCAAGTATTTTGGCCACTCATTGTACTTGTTATTTCTTTAAAAGGCCGTAAAATTTGGGACAATTACGAAAAAATAATCCAGTCTTCATTATTTAGATTTGATCTAAGTCTAAGTCTGTATTAACTGATACCAATGTGGAACGGATTGCCTCTTCTAACTCCGTCATTCTTTCTAACATGTAATAGGTGAAGTTCTACTTAGTTTCCACGTCTTGGATTGGCCGTTTGGGATCTTTGTTATGTTGTTATTGATACTTTAAAAGCGTTTCTGAAGATAAGGTACTTTTTGAAATGTGTTTTTTGCCGAATTGTCGAAAAAAAGACTTTTTATTTTATCTATTTGTACACGACAGCATTTAAGTGCGTCCTCCATCAATAAATTTAACGTATGAGCAAAACAATTTAAATGTTTTCATTTCAAAACATATTTAATAGCTATGACCATATTTGAGGCATTATCAGTTACTGCACAATTTACTTTTTGTTTTAGACCCCACTGAATAATAATTTCACTAATTTTAAAAGCTATGTATTCTGAATTATGGTTTCCAGAAAAATGGCAGCAGCCTAATAAAACCGTTTTAAACTCTAAATTTTCGGTTAAATTCGTTAAAATCAACTAGTTGATGGTTGAAGCTGGTTACTCTATAAAAAAAAAGAAAAAGATGATTATACTATTGAAAATTAACTAGTACAAGAAAAAGAAACTGATAAAGATGACTTAAGTCCATGTAAATGTAAGTACTATTTGTATTGTTTAATTTATTTTTCAAGTCATAATAAATATATTCTTCGTTAGTTTCTTTCACTTCAATACTTATACACATAAACGATATTAGCCAATATGTTTGTGTACTAGCTAATTTGAATACTGGTAAACAATCAACTAGTTACAGTTTACGAAAAACGGTTCCGATAAAAATTTAAAAAACTAGAGGACCCACCTCTAGTTTCTTAGCTTTATGAGGATCGGAACCACAGAATATGTAAAATATCTCTGATCGGAACTAATCGTCTCACTAACAGGCAATGGGCGTCAAGAAGATTTATGGAGGGGAGACCAAGGGGGAATATGATTGTTATCTTTGTCTATTCGCTGAAAATATGATTTTATATCTGTGTTAGATATCCTGTTAAGTTTTACCATACCGACCATAAAATTTTACCTACACTGTATAGGTGAAAAATTTTAAATATACCTATTTCAATGAAGGGTCTGTTAAGATTTGTGAAAACTTTCCAAATAATAGAAAATGAGTTTAGGGGAGGGACAGTCAAATTCAAATCTAATGATTTATTTATTTATTTAATATTTATTTTTACGCACAACATGCCGTTAAGGCCTAGGGCATTTTTTTACAACATAATACTAATATTAACTAATTACAATTATTTTAAACAAAACTTTAACTTAAATATGTATATACAACATTCTTAACTACTCTGAAGGACTTGGTGTACAATATTTCTCCACTCGCTTCTATTTTGTGCTTTTCTTTTCCAGTCCCTCACCTTAACGTGTTTAAGGTCTTCCTCCACTTTACTAATCCACCTCGTTCTGAGTCTACCTCTTCTTTTGGGGCCGATTAATTTTCTGGTTATTACTAGTTTAGGCATTCTGTTTGCTGCCATTCTTTCCACATGTCCCAACCATCTGATTCTTTGTGCCTTGACGAACTTCAATTGTAATGGTAATGGTAGGTTCTTTGTATAAAGCCATTACATAATTCATTGTTGGTTCTTCTCTCCCAACCATCTTATGTCTTCCGTCCTCGGAATATGCGTTTCAGTATTTTCCTTTCCCATCGTTCCAGAGTATCCTCTTCCTTCTTATTTAATGTCCATGTGTCACCGGCATATGTTACTGTGGATCAAATTACTGTTTTATATATTCTGAGTTTACCTTGTCTAGAAACGTATTTTGAGTTCAGTAGGGCTCTTAAACTACCTAATTTCTTATTCTCTTTTGTTATTCTGGCTTCGAGCCCCATTTCTCTTTCCATTTTCATCGAAAACTACACCCAGGTATTCAAATTTGTCCATCCTTTTAAAACTACAGCTTTTACCACTTACAGACCTCACACTAAAGACTTCTTTTTTCCCTTCTGTCCCTCCCATGATTATATATTTGGTTTTATTTTCATTTAGTTCCAATCCGAATTTCTATGCTTCTTCGATGATTTTCTTCACAACCCTTCTTAATTCTTTCTCGGTTTTTGCTAGGATCGTTAGATCGTCAACAAATGCCAAATACTAGTGCTCATTTTTCATGATCGTTTCTTCCACCTTCATGCTGCCTTTTCTGATTACAGTTTCTAACACTAAGTTGAATAATATAGTGGATAAAGGATCTCCCTGTCTCAAGCCTTTTGCAACCGTAAATTGATCTGATATGTGACCCTGCCAAGCAATTTCACACGTAGAGTTATTTAGTGTCATTTTTACTAGCCGGATCAGTTTCTTTGATATACCCAAATGTTTCATTGCTCGATACATTTTGACTCTATAGTTGCCACACTTCAGTTTGTCTCCTTTTTATGCAGAGGGCGTATGCGGGCCTCATACCACTCCGATGGCAGTATATCCTTTTCCCATATTTGCACTAGTAGCTGATATCTTTTTCTTTGTAGTTGTTGTCCACCAAACTTGATCATTTCTATGCATATGTCATTTTTACCAGGACTTCTGTTATTTTTCATTCTTGTATTGCTGTCACTACCTCCTCCTCTGTAGGCTGCCTTTCAACTATCGCATCTTCTTTAACCGTCCAGTTGTCTACTGCTTCGTGGTCTAATTCTTCTAATAATTCGTCTAATAATTCTTCAAAATGTTTTTTCCATTCCGCCATTATTTCTGCCGGATCGCTAATTAAATTTCCGTCTTTACCTTTCATATAACTACAGTGGCTTTGGTAACCTTTTCCCATCTTTTTAACTTCTTGATAGAACGACCTCACCTCTTTGTTTTTAAACTTCTCTTCTATCTCTTTTAATTTCAACTCATTGCGGTATCTCTTTTTCCTTCTACACAGAGCTTTCAATCTTCCTCGAATTATTCTATATTCTTGTTTTTTACACTCTCTATTATCTGTTAATATTTGTTGTCTGATCTTCTTTTCCTTTGTTATCGCCTGACACTCTTCGTCAAACCAATCTTTGTTTGTACTTCTCTTGAGTCGCACTTAACTATTTTCTCGCTAACTTCTCCTACGGCAGATTTGATTTGTTCCCAGGCTTGATCTGTCTGTAAATTTTGGTTACATTGTTGTAGAATTTTATTTGTTTCTTCTTCATAAGTTTTTCAATATTGTACTTTCTCTTCATTTTATTGTTCGAGTTCTCTTTTTCTTCCAGCCTCCTCCCAGATCCATGTAAAGTAGAATAACTTAAGTTATCAGGCTTTTTACAATGAAATCGCGGCGCAATATACTAGGCCGGCCATACCTACGAGGCATAGGTGGACAAGCTAAATGAGTTCCAAGAAACCGCATTCATGTTATACCACCGCGTAGTAGTGACTCCGAAACTCACGGACAGAGGAAAACATGCTGAGAGAAAACAATTTATTGATCAGTTTACCATCCCAGTTAATGTCCTTCTGGATCAACCAGACAGCAGTCTTCGAGCTAAGCTTCCAGTTTCCGCTAGTGTGCATTATGCATTAGGTGCACTATAAGATGCGCAATTTGGTATCTCGATAAATTCATTTATGTAAAAATACGATTTTCTGCCGTTTTACATGATATTTTATTGATTTTTTTTAATAAACAGTTTGAACTTCCTTCTCTTTTGCCACTGTATCGTTTTTATTTTTACGATAAAATATAATAAAAAATTAATTAACAAAAAATAATCACCTTACATTGAACTAGGTATAAAATAACAAAGGAATGTGTGTAGTTCTATAATATAAATAAAAAATAACTTACCCAAGAAAATAGGCTTTTTTAGTCTCACAAAAATCGGATACACCGACATGAGGCAACATTTCCTTCTGTAAAATTTCTCTAGCATATTTCACACGCTTTTCTTTGGTTACTCCTGGCCTGGCACCTCTAGCTCCGATGAAATTCAAAAGCAATATTTTGTTCCTGAATTACGAAAGCTTCATCTAATGAAGGCTTCACCATTTCCATTAATTCTGGATCATCGAAATCGTAAATAATGTGTTCTAGAATATCTCTATCGGCTACAAATCCTAAAGCTCTAAATACGATCATTATGGGGATCTCTTGTTTGATATATGGGAGAATAGCTATAATACGTTGACCTATAGCAGCTTTTTTAATGGCCTGACCACCACGAGCCATCATATTTACCCACAGAGTTGATGTCGGTCGAGAGCTATGCTCCAGACAAGATCTTATTTCAGATTTGTACGCATATTTTCCGTCTTTCATTGAAAATACATATACTGTGTTAGTTGCCATTTTTTCTTGAGCGATTAATACTTTTTCAGAACCGTTAATTATGAAATATCCACCAGGATCTAACGGACACTCGTTTAATTCTGTTAAATCACGATCTGTTAAGCCACTAAGCAGACAGTATGTTGACCTTAACATAATGGGAATTTTACCTAAAATATAATAAAACATTATCTACAGAAGTAATATATATATATATATATATAATATATATAATATATATAATATATATATATATATAATAAAAAACGCCAAAAAAGTGGCCACCCTATAAATTTCCGAAGATAAAAATTTATTGGAAGTTTTGTGTACTATTTCATATTGCGCCTCAATTTAAATATACAGATTGAACGAATTTAAAACGGATCATACAATTTAATATATGTCTGTTTGAACTGCATTTGAAATAGTGGAACAATATAAAACTTGGACAAAAATAAATCCATACCTGGGTTTAGACATTATATAAAATATCGTTCAACTATCCTACTCGCAACAATGTTGTTTGCGTAACAATGTTGCCAATCGCCGTGTAATAATCCGATTTGCGGATCTTTTTGAGAGTTATATCTTCTTTGTATCTTTAAATAAATCGGAAATTTGCCTATTTTTTCATTGTATTTACCAATCTACTACAACAGACTAATAACAAAAACAAACTTAATGGTTTGTAGTTATTTTCTTTTTTTCTTGTAAATATTTTATGGATAAACACCTTATTTGAGAAACATCTAAAGGAATGAGGTTTGCAACACCGCTCAAAGAAGGGCTTGTCTAAGGAAGCGATAACTGGTTTGACAGCATAATAAAATCGTAGATTTATGTGTAGCTTTCAATTTTTATGATTTCAGAATCCAGCAGCCCGCTGAAGTATTGGATTTTTATAATTAATTATTTGACAACCTTTTGTTGGCCAACCACCTACAGCAAAATTGAGTAGAAATACATAATATTTCGTATGTTCCGAATTTATTTCGTTCAATCGTATATTGCTATCATGTATACTTGTTTTTGACAGTTTTGACATTTATGTTGTTACTTTCTTTAGTCGCTGTTTATCTTGTAAATTGAAAAATTTAATTACACACTAATTTAGCTTTTCAAACGTAGATTTCGACTAAGTGGATTAATAATTTTTATTTTCGGAAATTTATAGGGTGTCAACTTTTTTTGCCGGTTAGTTGCCCCATCAATTGTCACTTTATAATTGAACACAGTGTCAGAACTCCAAGAAATGAATATACTGATAAGATTTAACATGGCATTGACCTATATTTAAAAGGGAATAGAGAGTATATTTTATATCAGCAACAGCGCTACCAACGTCAAGGAGCAGCATATATGACAATCACAGTCATACTCAATACAATCAAAAAAGTTTGGTTGTAGCCAAACCGAACGACCCAGATTTGATCCCCGGTATAGGCACTAGAAATTTTTCAAATTCTAATTTAATTGAGCCATCACCGTGATTCGGAGGACACGTAAAGCCATCAGTCCCAACAATTGACTACAGTACAACCGGTTAGGTTAGCTTAGGTTAAAAAAACAACAACAAAAATTTGGTTGTGTGCCTTACGTTATTTGCAAGATATATTTGCTTATGTTCATTTATTGGAGTTCCAAGCCTGTACAGAAACATTTAAAAAAAAAAACAGAAAGAAAATAATAAATAATAGGTAAGTAAAATAAGCTAGAAAATTACAACTTAGTTGGATAAAGAAATAATTAAAACCTAATAAACTATTCATGATTCATTTTATGAATATGCAAAGACAAATCAATTCCAAGAAGGATAACGATAGCAGTGAAACTTTGTTCAAAATAGATCTTTCAACATGGGTGAGGCAACTTAAAAGGAAATAAGAATGAAAATACATGATCATAAAGTGATTTAGTGATGAATCTGTTATATAAATATTATATTAGATTCATACCAAATTTTACAATGGAATAAAGAAATCTTATTAATCTCTTGACAAGACAGAAAACTTTTCGCTGACTTATTTTTACCTATAAAAGTTTTCTGATGTTGAGTTTCTATAGGATCCTCTCCTTCCTTCACAATTGTTTTTGTTATATCTACATAAAGAGGGGCAGAATATGTCAAATTTCTTAATCTAGCTTCATTAGGCATCATAGGAGATGGGGCACCATCTTTCTCCCAATGGGTAGGTTTTGAAAGGTAGATCTGTTCAAACTTCAGCAAATATCTAGGTGGAGTTTCGATTTCCCCAGATGTATGTTGTGCTTCTGCTTGTAGATCTATCTGTGGAGAATCTTCAACTATCCTCTGTACGGACATTTGAATGAATTCATCAAAACTGTCCAACTGCTGTCGTACCAAACCTTTTTCATCGAAGTAGGCATTAATAACAATCCAACAGGCTTCCTGCCAGAGTTCTCCACTGATTTCTTCTGTATCTTCATCGTCAAATTGATCTAAACAAAATTAAACACATTAGTTGCATAAATAAATAGTAAAAAAAAAATCATCATGACATTCCATTCAAAAACCAAATCATTTATATGTTTTGCTGAATATACAAAGGCCTTTGATAATCTTAGATGTGACAAACTATGGAATATACTGACAATGGGTGTACCTAAACACTTGAATCACCATATTAGCAAAGTTTATCAAGATAATCTGGCATATATTCAAATGGATGGATACCTATCTGATGAATGCACTTTGGAGAAGTGCATTCATCAGATAGATCTCCCTTATTATTTAACATGGGGTATGTCGTAATTGTGACATTACTATGACAAATAAGAAGAAACACATTTTAACTCTGGTATACCATATTTACTACGCATGTGAGACATTGAATGTCAAAGAATCCGATAGATAACACATAGTCTCTTTTGAAATGTGGATATGGAGACGACTGCTTCAAATTCCATTTACGGCACTCCACACGAATGTCACGGTGCTAGATGAAACTAAATCCAATGAGCATCTCTCTGGTACTATTTACTCTAGAATTTTATTAATGTTCTTTGGTCATATGCAACGAAATGGTCACAAAATGGAGCAGTTGGTGGTCCAAACAAGGCTGCACAGTCAAGGTCAATGTGACAGATCGCCACAGCTATAGGCAGATATTCGAGAAGATTTTTAACAAACAGTATAGAGAGGCAGTACATGTAACAGAAGATCGCGACCAGTAATATCATCAATTAAACTATCCGAGCTGCTGAAGCTCAATGATGAATCACAAAACATCTGCTAAGATGTTGATGACTAGGATGATGATACTATACATATTTTATTATAACTGTAAAAAATAGTATTAAATGTTAATATAAATATATAATTAAAAATGGATCATTTAGAATGTCAATGGCATTTTAATGTCTTTATAAAGTAGCAATTCAATAAAATTGTTAATTAAGCATTATTGAAAATGTGACATAGATAATATTAAGCTCATTCAATTTTTATATTATTGATATGGTGATAAGTGAAACAAAGAATATTTGGAAACAAAATACCATCAATTAGTATAAATGGAGCAAAAGAAACTTATTGATAAGCAACAAGATAGAGTACATAATCATTCAGATAGAGTACATAGAGTAAAAATAGTAAACTAATAACAATTTTATAATAAAACAATAGGAGAATCCATATAAAACTGTTGCCTAAGTGATGCCACACAGACAAGAACTATAGGGGATTACATCCTTGGCACCTAACAGCATTTCATCCTGACTTTGCGAAATAAAATGGACAGAAGACAAAAAGAGTTGATCCCAAAAAGAACTCAGAAATGAGCGACTGTTCTGAGTTGACAAACAGGAATGTTGAGGGAATGGGTAATGAGGCTTAATAGCATTAAAATAGTAATTTTAAAGAACATTCATTATCGTGAAGACAATTGTCAATGACCATTAAGCCCATTGCCTATGTTAAGATAAAACTTGTGACACTCTTAAATATGTACTCTTAGATTTAAGGAATTTTATTTGGATCTTATAGTGTTTTACTCAAACGTATCAATATATCCCAAAAAATTACTTAAGACAGCACTTGCTTTATTGCTTGAGTACTAGTACATATATCACATATAGACAACCAATGGAAACATATTCTACCAAATATGGAACAGTGTATTGTCACCTCAATACTACAACTACATAGATAACTTAAACATATTCATTTTTGGGATAAGTTTACCAGAAGATATAACTAAATCATCTTCATGTACAACTACACAAAGCACCCTTTGCATTAATATAACCAACTTTTGAAAATATGCAACTTTGTATACCATCATTTGTTTAATACTATAAATCAATATCTTAAGTTATACTACTACTACTAAGGATTTCCACAGTTTTCACACTGTCTTCCTTCACTCAACCGTTTTCTCCAATTTTCCCTGTAATTCCAGTTTCCATCTCGCAGGGTTCATTTCTCAATAGCCTCGTCGATTTCGTCTCTGAATGACCTTCAGGGTCTTCCTCTCTTTCTCCTTCCGATCGGGCTCCATTCTGTGATTTTGTTTATCCAGCGTCCTCTGTCCGCTCTTCTGATGTGACCGTATCAGGATAGTCTCTTCTCCTCTATATAGTCGATTATGTCTGATTGCACTCCCATTCTCCGCTTAATCTCTGCGTTTTCAATTCTGTCTCTTTTTGTAAGTCTACAGCTTCTCCTCAGGAACTCCATTTCTACTGCTCTTATATCTACATCTATTTCTCTTGTTTATTGTCCAGTTTTCCGGACCCATATGTCAGGATACTTCTTGTCAGGTATTATATATTCTCTTTTTTGACTTTATCGTAATGTTCCTATCCCACAGTACTGAATTTAGTTGTCTTGTACAGTTTCTTGTTTGTCTTAGTCTGTTGTTTATATCTTCTTCTGTTGTTCCCTGGTTCGACATTATGGTTCCTTAATACTTGAATTTATCTGTTCCATTTACTTGTCTTCCCTCGTCTATCTCTAGGTTTCTCATATCCTTGTTTTCTGTTGTTAGGTATTCGGTTTTCTCTAAGTTTATTTCCATTCCGTTGTTTTATATTCATCTTCCAGTTTTCTGAGCATAAAGCTGAGATCTTTTTCATCTTGTGAGATGACTACTTGATCGTCGGCAAAACTTAAGGTGTATAGGTATTCATCTCTTACTGGTATGCCCATTCCTTTGCACTTTCTCCTCCATGGTTTGAGTGTATTTTCCAAGAATATTTTAAACAGAGTAGGGGATGTAGCACAGCCTTGTAGAAGTCCTTTTGTCGTCTTAAATGGATTGTAGGCTTTATTTCCACATTTAATAGCTACTTTGTTTTCTTTGTACAATGCTTTAACTGCTTTTATTAGTGTTTGTCAGATTCCGAGATCATTCATTGCTTCCCATAATTTGACTCTAGGTATTGAGTCGTATGCCTTCCTTTGATCAACAAACGCCAGATGGACCGGTCTACCTTTTGTCATTTTCATCTCTATCAGTTGTTCTAATGTGTACGTATGATCTAGGCATGATTTTCCTACTGTGGACCCTGGTTGGTCTTCTCCAATTTTTCCTATTATTTCAGTTTCTAGTTTTTTCCTTGATAATTTTCCCGTAAAGTCTACCTACCGACAATATTATACTAATTCCTTTGTAGTTTTCACATTTTTTCCTGTTTCCTTTCTTAAGTTATCTAATTATATATTTTAATGTTTGAGTTCTTAGTGGCAACAACCATACAACTACACTTACCTAGTTGTAGCACACAAGTAATGTCACTTGAAAAATGTTGGTACCACTGACGAAGATTTTGTCTTGGTTTTGGTTTGAAAACACAGAAAAATGTGGTTTTAAATTACAGATATAAACTGATAAAAGTAACTGATTGTCCATGAAATCATTTACTGGATTAATCAGCATGAAACCTGTACAAATGTATACATGCCAGAGGGGAAGCTTACATAAAAGCATTAATATGTAAAGGTTGTAAGATGATTTTTATAAATACACTAGTAATTAACAATGAAGTAGTTGATATTGATACGAAGAATCACACATATGAAAATACAATAGAGTTAACAGTTAGTTAAGACTTAACATTATTGTCAATCATCTATTAAATGGCATTATCTTGATTCATTCTTAAATGTCACTTTTAAGTATAAACTTTATTATAATTTGTGTGATTCAGGGAGGAAAGACAACATAAGCTTGGTAATGTATAGAAATTTTTTAATAAAAATTACAATGTAGATTTCCATCATCCTAAAAAAGATCATTGGCATATTTTGTTCTTATTATATCATTGCCACCACTAATTGGAAAATGTTGCACAAGGTAACACATTAGACTATGGAACTCATCTCTTATTAAGGACAAAGCTAGAACCGAAAAAATATTTAATAATTGATGCTGAATCTTCTAATGAAGCACACATATGTGCCAATTTTGATCTCCAATAAGTCTTATTAGTATCCACTCATCCAATAAATAATGCACTCATTTACAAACTTAGGCTTGCTTACTACTATTTCGTCATTTGCAATGTTGTTAATAAGCAAAGAGATTATTTCATGTAGAATAAGACTAAGACTTTATATTTACCTTAAGTCACTACCAGATACAACAACCTATGTCACATTTTTTAGTGAAAGAGATGTGGAGGCCAAAACTTGAATCATTTTACTTCAGCATGTTATTGAAGGCAATACATAATTTAAATAACCTGGAAGACATTAATGTGAAGTTCTGGGTTTCTGGGCACACAATGGAATATAATTATATCTCTCTGCAATTAACACATAATTCAAGCATATAGGGAGAACCTTGTGGTCTGAAAATTTGAAGCAAATTGCTCAGGGAGCAAGAAGGATGGGAAAAACCTTATCTTGTTCATGATTTAAATCAAATGTACATAAAATATTTCAAAATATTTGTAAAGGATAACATGACTATTCTGAAAATGAAAATGCTGGCGAGTTCAAAAGAGTCAACTTTTTTTGTTTATAGATCATAAAATATATATTTTTTAATAGAGTTAAGTACATATGTAATGTCTTTCTGAGGGTGGTTTTAAAGATTTTTAATTTTAACTGACTTATCCAACCTATGGCCAGGTCCCGTCATGGTCTGTTAAGAGGGCATTTACTGTACTTTTCATGTTTTTACTATTGTTCCTGTAACATTATTTTAAATAACAGTATGCCATTTTAACATAAATAATAAGGACATAAGGAAATTACAAGAAATGTTTAGTGCAAGCACATAACTGGGATTTTTTGTATAAAGCCTACACATGCAAAAACTAGATAACTGGGAATTTTCCTGACTTTTCTCCAGATATTCCCAATATTGGAAAATATGTTCATTATTAAACTTCATATGTGGTAAGTAGAGAAGACAAGAATATTAAAATTTGGAGGCCCTAAAATTGTGACAGTTTTAAGCTACAGAGGAATTCAAATTTTTCAAAAAACTTTGAAGTTGTTTCTCAATAGTTTTATATTTGAGTTACCTAGTTGTAGTATTGAGGTGATGATATGTACACAAGATTTCACAATGTTCAGTAGGAAACACATACTTTAATAATATTTCTATGTACTTGGTTGTATAAAATAAATGTACCAACCTTAATGTAATTGTCTCTGAAACAGCTTTGAAAGTATATTTCCTTACCCGTTATTATCTAGTGCTGGTTACTTTAACAGTTTTTAAAAGTTTACCTACAACTGTAGACAATGAAGTGTCTAAATTTATGGATTTCCAAATTTTGGTATATGGCTTATGTATTATAGTGGTGTAGTTTATAAACTGATTGAAGCTATACATTGAAAACTAGAGACTCAGTAAAAACAACTTTAAACATTGTTACTGTGTTATTTTACTGTAGGAGGGATGCCTACTTATCCAAATTTGTGGATAAAGTTGACCTAACCGGTGTTGACGATAACACTATAAGCAACAACGCGTGACACAATGTTTCTAGTATGACTTAATGTCTGATGAAAGAAATAAGCTCTAATGAGATATAAATAAAATGCATATTGTGAATGTGTACTATTACTTCAGAAGCAAATGTATAGAAAAAATGATCACATACAAATACTAGCCTCTTATACTTAAATACTGCCTTTGCACTGTAAAAGTAAGTCGCCAATTAGTTCAGTACAAGAATATTAAAAAATATTTTATAGGTATTTTGTTTCACTTGGTCGGTCTATAAATGTTGCTTTGTGGTGTAATATTGAAATCGTTTTAAATATGTAAAAATATTAATTAAAATTGTTGTGCCATATATACTAACCATCTTCTTGATCGTACATCTTGCTATATTGTACTCAAAATTACAAAATAAATAAAGAAGCACAACTCTGCTTTGATGCAGATGCCTGTCTATTTTAGTTTTGACTATTTGACATTTGACAGTCCGGTTATCGGTTGACATGACTGACAGTGACAGAAAATGAGAGTTTATTTTACTATCATTTAACAATACAGAGAACGTGCAGGGAACCTCGAAAATTTTTGTACAAATAATTGCATAGAAATTTCAGTATTCATAAAAACTATATCTATAACATTTTCAGTTATTGTTATAAGTATGTATAGTTCACTACTGATGAAAAATCATCATTTCACAATAGGCGTACTTTGGACAAATTGTATTTCAAAATAATCTGCCCGTTACAATGTTATTACACCAAAAGCTGAGTATCAAACCTCAGACGTGGTTGTGCGATTAAGAAGTAAATTTCCTTCAATTTTGACTGATACTTAGCATGAGAACTACGTTCTTCCAAAGGTGGTTAACCAATTTTCAGGTACGAATGGTTTTGACGTAAAGGGCCCTATTCATATGCGATCTGTACGGAGGATAATGTCCGACGGACAAATCCTCTGGACAGATCCGCATATGTGTATCCATGCGTACGCCGTATGTGTCTTGCTCGCCGTCTGTGGTTCATGTGTGATTCAAGACGACGAACATGGACAGCAAACCAGATATATACGCATGTGTGTGAATAGTTTTAGATTTGTTCGCCGGACGAAGATTATCTGTTGAATTTGTATTCTAACCAAGGTAGTAAATGTGTATTTATATTACATTAAAATGGCATTCGCGGAGAATAAAGTTTTTTGGAAAAGTATTATTTTGCTATATAAGTTAAAGTCATGTTTGTGGAATATAAAAAGTAAAGAATATTCTAACAGGCAACTGCGAAAAAACTCATGAAGGTGCTGAATTTCAAAGTGAGTTAAGAGAAATGAGGAAGAGTAAGAGATCTGGGTCATCTACGAACACTGTTTATGAACCTACCTTGTGGTATTTTGACCTACTGTTATTTACAAAAAATCAAGAAGAGTTTCGCCCTTGAACATCTTCAATTGCATCCCAGGAATCGAAAATGGATAGTCAAACTAAAACAATGGTAAGTCATATATTTATCTATTATTATTTATTTTTGATTCACTTTAAGAAAGAAATGGACACAGGCAAGTTAATAAAGTTATATATGATAGACATTTTCTATTAAAAATTATTAAAATCATGAATGTGAAACCGGTCGTCTGAATAGTTAAATTAAATTGATTGTGAGTAAGTCTTATTTATTATTTCTTTACCTATTTAAAAATTATTAGTTTCCGTTGATCATGTCTTCTTGACCAACAATGAAAGAATTGAACACGTGGATTCGTACATCTACTTAATATCAGCTAGGAGTGGTAACACCCGATAACTTAATACAAAAAGCCATGCAAAACAAAGTATCCTACGATGTTACTGTCGACCTAATTACACAAATAATCAAGAAAAAGGAGACGCTAGAAAGAACGAGACAGGAACAGGGGTAGATTAGGTAACAAATTACATATAGTGAGGTACGGACCCTTACAGCTCAGCCGCACGACGAAATAGACACGGCACCTTTACAGCTAAATCTATAATTATATTACGTAAGATGTTTTCACGACATAGTGTGCCACTCTTTTTATTTATTTTACATTCCCCTTGTCAGAATACATACATCTGCATTTTTATCATCGCATACTTTGTCTCTAGATTTTAATTTAAGTGGTTCTTATTGCTAAAGACAGAGCTAAAAAACAGGAAATCACCGGGAACGGATGGTATACCCAATGAACTTTTAAAATATGGAGGCCCGGAACTTGCAAGTAAACTGGCACAACTATTTAACAAAATATTAAACAAAACAGAAACACCAGAGAAATGACATAATAGTATCACAATCCCCATATTTAATAAAGGACAAAAAATCTGCCCACAAAACTATAGAGGAATAAACCCTCTAAATACAACAATGAAACTTTTCACGGGTATTCTCAAGGACAAATTGGAAAAGCAAATCACTAATGCTGAAGAACAACAAGGTTTTACAAAAGGGCGGTCTATAACAGACGCAGTATTTATAATAAAACAAATAAAAGAAAAAGGCTATAGAGTTCGGCATGCCAGCGTATATTTGCTTCATTGATTTGACGAAGGCATTTGACAGAGTTCACCTGGGACCCATTCTAAATATATTAAATAGAAAAATGAAACACCGACCAGTATAACAAAGATACTCCATAAACCTAAAAACAACAACGTAACCAAAGTTAGAGCAGGAGACGAATTCACTGAAAATATTCCAACACCGGGAGGAATTAGACAAGGCGACAGTTTAAGTCCCTTCTTGTTTAATCTTCTCATGGGCAAAATTATCAACAAAGTAACATCTCTTAATCTCGGATATAGAATGGGCAACAAAAGAATTGGTATGGTGTGTTACGCAGACGATGCAGCAATTATTGCCGAATCAGAAGATGATCTCCAAAGGCAGCTCTTTCAAACAAGCCGACTACTAAAATATGAACATCTCAACCAACAAAACTAAATGTATGACAATAGCAAAAGATCCGCTCAGATGTAAGTTAGTGGTGTGAGGACAAACCCCATAGAACAGGTGATGCAATTCAGATATCTGGGCATAGATATATCAAGCACCCACGGCCCAATAAAGGACCTGAGGAGTCAGATCAACAAAGCATCTGCACTGTCAGGATGTCTGCGGGAGATAGTCTGGTCAAATCCGTATATGCGCACAGATAGTAAAATTAGAATCTATAAGACTTGCATACGACCGATCATGACATATGGCATAGAAGTGCGCGAAGATACCAACAAAACGAAACAGATGCTAAGGTTGCCGAAATGAAAACCCTAAGAACAATAATGGGGAAAACAAGAAGAGACAGAGTGAGAAATACAAACATTAGAGAGCAGTAAAAAATTCAAGATATTTTAAGATGGGGAAGGCAGCGCAAGAGGATGTGGTACAACCATGTAAGACGAATGGATGAGAATAGACTCCCAAAATTGCCCTAGAAAACAATCCGCCGGTTCAAGACCCCCGGAAGACCACCTAAAAGATGGAGGGATAGTTGGCAATCTACCTCCCAAGAAATTAAACCAGAGGCAGCTTCAGAATTAAACAGATCGAAAGATCTACAAAAAGTAGAAGAGAAGAGGTTCTTAATTGTTTTTAGGTAAGAATCTTCTTTCAGTTTTTTCACTCGAATTCCCAGACTGTGCAAGGCATTCCAATGTTTCGTTTGAACTCGTCCGAAGAAGGGGTGGTTTTAGTTGGTGCATATAATTCATACTTTGGATGCTATGTCCTAGCATGTGTCCTCCGGAATGAAAGCAACAGTACTAGGGACACCTTCCCTAGTCGGACCTTTCCACTTCTTCTTCTAGTGCCGTCTCAACTAATGAAGATTGGCTATAACCACTGGCGCCGACTACGTGGGTGCTGCGGTGCCCGGGCCCCGGACAGGTAAATCTGTCCGGTGCGAAGCACCGGACGCCGATGAAGGATGAAGTTGAATTTTCTGTCGGCGAACGATACATGGAGAGGAAATTTCTCGCCCGCCCACTCTGCGCGTTTCGGGTTGAATTCTCGGACATGCATCGTGCCTCCTTCACTGCTGGTTGTGTGTGTTTATTCAATGTTGCAAGATAAACCAGTCGAATATATTTCAATTTGTCAGGCATACGGTGCGTTTTTTTTTGGTGAGGGGATGTGCCAATCACTGTACATAGATTAAGACAGGTAAGTACAAAGGGGAAATATTTGAAGCGTTTTATTTGAAAAACAACATGTTATTGTCCAAGAATTAAAATTTTGGCAAATCAAGAAAAACTGCCCAGCTTCAATTTATTTCAAATCTTTCTTTTACTAAGATATTCATTGGAAGGAATGTGGATATCAAAATAATTGTACAAGTTGATTTCATATTTTTATTGAAATATTAAACAAAAATCGGTAGAAACTTATCGAAATAATCTATATCATCTATAATATTCATAACATTAGAGGAGGTATTGTGTTGAACAGTTTCTGTCATGCTGAACTAGTTTTCTATTACAAAGAAACAAACATCACCTGTTATTAACAAAGAACGCACACAACTTATTGAACTGATAAATTTATAGACAAAAATCATTCACGCTTAGCGATAACCGTTGATTAAGATGGACAAGTGTTGCTTTTACAACATACCGCTTGGATATCTGTTGTTTTTCTAAAACTATCCGAATATTCTATGTAGTTTACTCCGGACATTTGGGATTTTTACACAACTGAATGTGCGAGATCGATAAAAACTACTATTTTATGTGAACAACATATAAGTCAAATTTTCAAAAAATGAACATGCGTTGTTTTTCAAATAAACGCTTCAATTGTGTATTAAAATGCTTTTGTTTTGTGACAACACGAATGAAGTGTAAAATTTCCATTCTAGATTCCTGATCACTAGAAATGGATAAGTTCATAATACGTACTCCGATACAAACTCATCAGGCTACGAGGAATTGAACAACCTGTTCCAGTTCCATCGACATCTGTTGAAAAGTTACAATGGTAGTAAAACCATAACGTCTAGTGGAAAGAGGGCAGACAGTTTCGAGACACGTGGGAGTGTCACTTATCCATGGATAACATATGACAGTACACTACGATAAAATTTTTTTGTACTATTTTGCAAAACAGCAGCCGCATTGAAGCTACCAATAGCATCGACTGGAATAAATTCGCAGAGAGTCTTATCAACTTACGTTACAGAAGTTTCAAACTCGTGGGGTAAAGCGTGTAGAGAGATCAAGGATTCACGAAAGGTCAAATTTCACAGACATTCGGCGCTATCATTGAGACAGAACGATCAAGGCGTAAACGTCGCAAATATGTTGTCAAAGTCTAAATTGAAAGACATGACCGATGCAAGAAAATGTACTTCTCACAATATTTTCCACTATTAAATACTTGACTGTTCAGGGTATTGCTATCAGAGGACACTTCGATAGTACATCATAACTTCAATAATCTGCTTCATTTAAGACTAACG